TTGTGTCGTTAAAGTTTCGTTGGAACGAAGTTACGGAAAAATCAATTAACAAACGGAGACGTAACAATATGTTCTTTCATTGGACGGGTTCTAATGAAGTAGCTGATAAAAAGTATAAGAAATACAGTCCACTTAGCAATAACAATTACTTTATATCTTTCTTAACATTTGCTGCAGAACCAACTTCACTTGTACTTGTAGACCTTATTGCACAAACAAAATTTTAACAGAAATTCTGAGACTAATGGTAAGTATCCTAGCTCACAAGTAAATTTACTTGTTCAGTTTGTTGCTAATCGTTCCAGTAACTGATGAGACTTGATAAATCTCACTTCTAACATCGAACTGCGAACAACTTTTTTGACACTGAACTCATAATCTTTCTGAATACCCACTAACTTCACTAACTGATTACTTGTGCTTTTAAATATTGTACCATTGTTTCTGGATATTAAAGGAAATTTCACGATTATTACATCATCGTCACTAGCACTTACCTCAAGCAAATAGCTAAATTGTAACATTGAAAACATGGCTATCTCTGTTTGAACTATAACTAGAAAATGTTTGAACTATATATGTGAAGACAAAAGGCACTGAAAGAAGTCCAAAAGGGTGAGGCATGGGTCAATAGGCCTGGATGGTAAAAGTGAAGAAAATTTAAGAAGAAGGGGGAATTGGAACATATAGTTTCATAATCCACAAACTCCGAAGAAGTAATGCCTGTAAGATTCTCATAATTACCATCTAGAAATGATGAATATCCAGATAATTCTCTCTCCCGCCCACTTATTTCTTCATTGTTATAAAAAGGTGAGAGTAAAACCCTGGAGAAATATGAAATACTATTTCTGTAGCACCTTTCTGTAAAAGACTGCAAATTTCCTGATCCAAAATATAAACTAGGTCAGACATTAAATAAAAAGAATCCGAGTTGTAGAATCTTATGAACCCAATGATCATGACGCCAAAGGTTTATAAATATACAACCCCCAGAAAGTCTAGATGAAGGAACCATTAGAAACAACAGGGTCAAGGAGTGAATTGAAAAGACGTTACACTACTCAAAAAGGTCGAAACGAAATAGTAGATGTATTAAACACTCAAACGATCAACGTTTTTTAAGTATACAATTAGAAATTATATTCCGAGATCGTCAATGGCATCAAAACAGACGCTCTACATGTTTCGACGTCATATCACATCATCTTCAGGATCTATTATCACTTGTAGTTGAAGGCCTAATTGCAGGAAAGAACATTTAAACATCCCAAGGATGACTTGATTGGACGAAAGTGGTCTATTATAAAACCGTTGAGAAAACAAAGAAGTGAGACTAACAGAAATGTTATCAGGATTAGCGCTATAAGACAAATCCTGCTCTGCAGACATTAATTAAACAAGTGCGCCAGAGCAGGTCTGGCAGACAGAGCAGCAGCTGGACCAACATTTTGTCACATTCACAGTAACTGTAGGGCTGTTTAAACTTTAACTTGCACTTCAAAAAATGTTTCTACGTAAATAGATAGGCTTATAGTAGTATGTATGAATCAATCTAACAATGCATAATAAATTACATGTGTAATCTGCAAAAGTACATGCTTGTGTTTGCTTATAGCTATGGTGAGTATAAGTGCCAGTAAGCACCTATTCTTGTGACTCATAAAGAAGTGCTTGCTTTTAATAAATTATTGTAAAATTAACATAAAATTCAATCTCAGAGCACCTACTTTTCAAAGTTTTCCTGAAGAGCATGCTCACAGACCCCTAGAATGCGCATATTTTGCATGCCAAAGTGTGCTTTGCACACTATTCTGAGTTGCCTGACCGATCCAAAAACGCGAATAAAACCATGACCAAAGGACTGACCTTGATGAAATGCAAGAGAAAATGGCGGGTGTTACTCAAATTGAATTTCCACGCGATCTTGAAAATAGGAGACAATTTATTGTTAATGGTCCAAATTCGTTGATTAATCAGAGCTGACAATGCAATCATGAGGTCACTCTGCATATTAGAGTCACAGTATGAGTTAAGACGCCAAATAAGTCGTATAATTTCTGAATTCATTGTACAAAAGCTAACCAATTATGGCCGGAAAGCAGAGCATGTGCAATATCTTTGACATATGTGAAATAAGTCACGTGGGAAAAGGGAGAATTATAAGTTAGTGATGCACTCTCTCTACCACGTGTAAAGGGCATTCAGAATTTTTGAGTCACATGTTTTGTTGACAGCACGAGTGAAAACCCAACAAGGAAAGACTATCAGTATTTCAGAGATAAGAAGACAACTTGATTTGTAAACATTGATTTAATGAAAACAGCAATATGATCTCTTGGAATAAACATAAAAGCTACGGTGACCTGTTTCATACTTTTCAGAAACTTATTTTTGAAAACAAGTAAAATGAATAATCATTGACAAATTTGCCCATATTAGTTTAGAGACATTCTTATGATTAAACAGAATCCAGAAATAATTCTGTTGTATTCTGAAAAAAAAAAGTTATCTGGATGGAAATTAATGACACGTGTAGTTTTATTCGGGAAGATATGATATAGTTAATCTGAAAAAATATATATTCTTTTCTTGGTAAACTGTAGTTCCACTGAAAAATAACCAAAATATTGTTACGACAGCGGAAGTTACATGACGCTGCTGGTGCGTTTGGTGCTGGTAGCGTGCGTGCGTGAAATGTCTCGAATGATCATGAATGATCGGCCCGAGTGCATTCGAGACGCCCCTTCTTTAGTATATAAGCCTGGCAGAAAAGCCTGCGGAAATGAATGTATGATCAAGCAAACAGTAGACACGGTAAGATTCGGGCGAAGTCATCGAGATTGTGAATCGCTGTGGTTTATAGCGTGTATTATAAAAGTTGTTTAGTTTTAAAGTGATAAGAAAGGTAGTGATTGTGAAATTACTGTTTACTAAAAGTGTGTATCGAGAAAGAATAAACTGATTTAATCAAGAAAGAATTTGTATCGCTGAAGTTCCTCGGAAAGAATTTCTACCGGAAATTAACAAACAGGCATATACGTAACAATATTAAGTTTCAACATAAAATTGGTTATTTTAGATACCTTTCTAGGAATAGTAAATTGAATTATAAAATTGAATAATAAACATTAATATACCTTGTGATCTCAGTCAAATGTAGTCATATGTTTGAAGAGAAAAAACAACAATCCTATCATAACCTGGCAATGTATGATGCAATTCATATTACTTCAAAATGCTCAAAAAATGTACGTACCTCACTTTTTCTTTTGTAGATATGTTGTCTGTTTTGCTAATACCAATCCAACCACCGTCACTGTTAGTGCCTGGTAGAAATTAATGTTCGTGGATGATATAATAAATCCAAAATAGCACACAAAAACTCAAAGCATAAATACAGCAATGTTCCTATGCCAATCTTCACTGCTAGTTGGGGTAGTACCTGATATAAATCAACATTCATGCATAATTTAATCTAAATAAACTCATGAATAACTACAGATATTTGACTGTTTTGTATGATTTTTATAAACCTTGCATCTTTCAAGTTCTGCAGGAAGTTTACTTTAGTGTAGGTCGAAATAAATGACAGAGATTCTTCTAAGAAATATTGCACTGATATTACTATATATATATATAT